GCATCGCACCCATTATGTGCGTGTATAGCCATCCCCTCCTCCCCCTCCCATCTGCCCGACACCCGATGAATGTTAGTACTATACGTTCACTTAAGTGTTGATCAGTTAATACCAATTTGATGGTGAGTACATGTGTCTGATACTTTCTGAAAAGGGGAATCCACAGCACTTAGTAACCTGCCCTACCATTCAGAAGTTCTTTACAAGTCAAACCTTTGAATTTTTTGTTATCATTGAATACTGTTTTTGTTTATAGCTTCCACTGTCTCTGAGAATCCTGACATATAAAAAAGTAACAACTAAGATTGTTAATATTTAACATTTACAAAGCAGCTTACTGCTGTATACTTTCACTAGCTTACAATAGATCTGTAAGATGTTATTAAATTAGCCTCATTTTATAGAAATTGAAGTTCAGAAAGTTGAGGCACTTTCCAAAGGTCATAGAGCTAGTAAATGATAGAGCTGGAACTCCAACACAGATCTTCTGTTGCATAAATCTTGTGCTTGGTCCCATTATGCCCTGCTGCAAAAGGAAGAAGCAAAACCTAATCTTATTCTTTACTGTGTTGATAAATCTAAGAACTATCACAAGGAAAATGCTTTGGAATCACAGAATCCTAAAGTCAGAAGAGACCATAGAGATCATATATTGTAGTAACAATCTCCTAGAGAACTCAAATCCTGGTAAATGGATTGATGTCATCGGGAAGGCTTTGAACTGAATTGGGCTTACAAATGACACCCCACATTGGTTTAGTTGAGTTCACTGATAACACACACAAAAATAAAGACATGGTACTTTGGACACTGGAAAAAACAGCAATTGAGCATCGAGTTTCTGAGTAAAGAGCTCAGCTAAGCAAACTTAGGAGTTGTACATTGAAAAGTAAAATATAAGCTGGGTGCAATGGCAAGTGCTTGTAGTCCTAGGTACTCAGGAGGCTAAGATGGGAGGATCGCTTAAGCCCAAGAGATCGAGGCCAGTCTGGGCAACATAGCAAGACCCCACTCTAAAAAGGAAATAAAATAAAATAAAAGTAAAGTAAAATACAAGTGTAGTTTGGATAAGTGTGTGAGCTTTGAAGTCAGACAGTTCTGAGTTTGAATCCTACCACTTACTAGCTAGATGAACTGGGATAAGTTACTTAATTTCTCTAAATTTCAGTTTTGCTCTGTATAAAATGGATATAAGAGTATCTACATCATTGTGTTGATGTAAATATTGAAGGATATAATGCATATATAATAATACTAAGGATAGTACCTGGCACAATAAATTGTATTATTATTCCTATTATGATAGAGCATCATCTAAGCCTCCATTCAACTTGTCTTGAAAGTGTGTTGTGGGAAATATTTATTTATTGATAATATTTTTACATAGAAGATGATCTCTGACCTTAAGAACCATTCACACGAATAAGAGGCAACTCAAGACTTGCTCTAACACTATAATCATAGTAGCAAACCTTTATTGAGTCATCAGTATGTACTTCCTTTTTTTTTTTTTTTGAGACAGAGTCTCACTGTGTTGCCTGGGCTAGAGTGCTGTGGCTTCAGCCTAGCTCACAGCAACCTCAAACTCCTGGGCTCAAGCGATCCTCCTGCCTCAGCTTCCCGAGTAGCTGGGACTACAGGCATGAGCCACCATGCCCGGCTAGTTTTTTCTACATATTTTTAGTTGTCTGATTAATTTCTTTCTATTTTTGGTAGAGACGGGGTCTCGCTCTTGCT